AATCAACAGGTGATTTCCTTCTCTTTTAGTTTATATTTTCCCACCTGGACCTTCATGCTCTGCCATTTCTCCTCTAATCATCACGCTGTAACCTGTGACAGGCTGTTATGACATATTCACATATATGGAGTTTATTCACGTAGGTTTACATCACCAAAGGTTTGTGACAGAATCAGAGAGGAGAGGGAGAGACGCTGTGCTGCTGCCAGAGGAGCCGCTGACTGAGTTCCCTCTGAGCGCTAAGACAAGTAAAACATTCAGGACGCCACAGTTTCTTCCACACTATTGAAGCGGCTCCTCTTTTTGGAACCACCAAGGAGTCCCTGATAATTTCGCTTTCAGCCATGCAGTATGACGTCAATATGTCAACAGGTCGTAATATCGCATATATCACAATATGAATTTTTCATATGATATTAAGAATTATACCAGTATTATGGTGAACGAGATGATATGACACACCCCTGGCGACTGGGCTGAAATATTTTAACTTTGTTTATGGGAAAGCGATCTTTGCACACCTGTTGTTGAGGAGGACAGAAAGAGATGAGTAACAAAAATGAACTCCTGCAGACTTTCAACACTTGATTTATTGAATAGCTGTGTTTCAGTCAGTGGTAGTGTGTGTTAGTGCAGATTCACGGTACTTGTACTTTACTTTTTATTTCCATTGTTTGAACCTTTCTCCTTCTCCTCCACTACATCTCAGAGATAAATTTGTACTTTTTACTGCACCACATGTGTCTAAATTTCTTTCTCTGTAGTCATATATACACAGGCCCAAAAAAGGGCACAGGTACTCAGGAGGCAAATTGGCAAAAACAACTGAACCAGTGTTTTATATTTTGTTGAGTTCTGTACTTACATTATCCTAAACATTTCCAACAATGTTCAAACCATGTCTCCTTTGCACATGCGTCTGGGTTGTGGTTGTCTTCAAGAAGTTATCCAGTTATTTATCCAGTTTTAAGCCACATTTTTACAACACATTTGGTAGATCTTGGTTGTTTTTAACTATAATAAGGATTTTAGTCTTCAGACATCTGAAGTTCTCAGATAAACAAGCTGAGCAAAAGTTAGCAGCAGCTTGACTCCAGCCCTGCCTCGCCAAACAGCGTTGGAGAAACACAGATTTTTAACATGAAGCAGCTTTATTTAGTGTTTTTACCTGCGTAAATCAGCAGGTTCATTTGTATTGGAGAGGAGAACATCTGCTAATAAACAGCACCACTGCTTCAGCTGGAAATAGAGAATGTTTGGCTTTTGAGCAATTGACTCAAACATTCATTCATCTTCTGTAACAGCTTATCCTCCAGGTCGGTGAGAGGCAGGGTTCACCCTGGACAGGTCACCAGACTATCACAGGACTGACACATAGAGACAGACAACCATTCACACTCACATTCACACCTACGGACAATTTAGAGTCACCAATTAACCTGCATGTCTTTGGACTGTGGGAGGAAGCTGGAGCACCTGGAGGAAACCCACGCTGACACGGGGAGAACATGCAGATTGCTTAAAGAAGGGCTCCCCCACCCTGGGGTTTGAACCAGGAACCCTCTTGCTGTGAGGTGACAATGCTAACCACTGCAGCACTGTGCTGCCGTTGACTCAAATAATTAAAATAATGTGCGATTTATTGCAGGTTGAGGTGAGAGGTGAGTTTTAATCTCAGGGACTGGATGATAAAATGTCTCCCTGCACCTCCAGTTTTCTCTGACACATCCTGCTTTGGATGACACCACTACAAAATATTCTAACACCGGCTTTAGTAAACACACAAAGAGGTGAATGACCACTGTATCATCTTTATTTAATCCAGCTGGTCATGAATGAAAGGAGGAGCAGGAGAGGTGCTGACAGAGAGGAGGAGGAGAGAGGCGTCACAGGAGAGGAGCTGTCACTGTTTGACAGCCTGATCCTCAGCTAGGACAAAGACAAATGGTCTTAAAGTGGCGACAACACTCCTGATGTGTGTGTGTGTGTGTGTGTGTGTGTCAGTCACCCTGCCATGGCCCCAGACAGGCTTTTGTCAAAGTGGGTACACGGGTGGCGACACACAGCAGCTGACAGACGGACATGACACAGAAGTCTGTTTAGGGAGGTGACAGGAATGTAGTGACCCACAGAGGAATGCCAGGCGGACGGTCACAACACTAATCAGGCCGCTGCTTTGTGCGTGCGTGCATGTGTGCGAGCTGACTGGGGGGGGGGAAGCTTGATACAGTGGTTTGTCTCATCTACACGTGTCAGGATAGCCTTCCACGTATATCAGATGAAGAGAGGGGACTTTGGTGAGCGGCTGTGAGTGACCCTGAGCTCTGAGCTGCAACCGGCGGAGGAGTGAGTGACTGATCTCGCTGCTATCTCTCAGTTTGCAGGTGCAAGGCCGAAGCTTTTAGACCAGACTTAGACCTTGCCACAGAGACGCTTTTGTCATCCCTGACAGCACCTGGACGTCATAAAAACCAGTATGAATGACTTATCTGTCTTTTCTTAACTCTGTGTTTCTGCCTGCTGTGTTCCAGATGGTGCTGCTGGCGCGCTGCGAGGGCCACTGCAGCCACACGACCCGCTCCGACCCCCTCATCTCCTTCAGCTCGGTGCTCAAGCAGCCCTTCAAGAGCACCTGCTCCTGCTGCCGGCCGCACACCTCCAAGCTGAAGGCGGTGAGGCTGCGCTGCGCTGGCGGGACTCGCATCACGGCCACTTACAGATACATCCTAGCCTGCAACTGCGAGGAGTGCAGCTGAACGGGGAGCAGCAACCCTCCCAGACCCTCAAGACTCTCAAGACCCAGGATCCTCTTGGCCTCGGGCCTCGCTCTTCAGCTATCCAGAGCGTTTTTGGTTGATTATTGGATCAGGAAATTGCCCCGGAGGACAGCAGCTCAAGTTGTTGTTATCTTGGGAGTGATAGTTTGGAGCGATCGTACCACCCTCACACAGACCTTAAAATTGACCTGCAGCCTCTGGGACTCAGACCGAACATACTATACCCTCTCCATTATGTGCGTCCAATCAGTACAAACCATATGAAGCATATTTCTCCAGCGCACGAGGCCAGACACCACAAACTGCCGTTCCCATGGGCCACATGGAGACCCTCCTCGCTGCGGAGACGCACTGCGCTCATTACAGGCCTCCGTAATTCATAACACACATGCTCACAAACCACAGTTTGAGAGCTCATTACAAATATCTGCAGCAGCTTTCTGCCAGCTCCATAAAAACCCCGCCGCGCATATGACAACAAAACAACACGCCTCGTTAAAACGCAGCACGGGAAAGGACAAGGCTCGATGAGAGCGTGCGGCCTACATGAGCCCGGACATGTGGCGGACCTATAGGGGAGCACCTGCGTCGCGCTTACTCACCCAGTAACATTTTACACACTCCCTGCGGACTTTCATCTAGCTGTGTAAAACATGAGCGACGCTGACAGCAGAGCTCATCAGGTGAACAATAAAAGAGTGGCGGCAGACGGTGTAAGAGGAGCTCAGAGGATGAAAGAGGAGCGGGGATGAAGGTTAAGCCAGCGCCTGGGTGGTCGTGCAGACCATCAACAGACTTTCAGTGTTCATTTTAAATGTAATCTATTCTATTTGGATCTTTGGGATGTTCCTGTCAACATTAATGAAACTGTAGCTGCCGCTTTTGCCTGTCGTGTATCGTTACTAATGACATGTTCAGTGTTTTGACTCGGAGCAAACTCTCCTGTCACAACTGTGCTATGGTCGCTCTGCATACGTCTGTAAAGCCTGCGTACGTTTCCCTCATGATGAATACCAGAACTTCAAACTCTCTGTGTGTGTGCCAGGCTCAAATACGTCTGAATCGTCTTTGGCCATCAGTGTTTGTGGTCACTTTATCTGAATTAAAAAATGAACAACTCTCACGATGTACCAATTGTGGTTTTTTTCTATCATAAAAACTCCAATTTTCAAACACCACAAAAATTTCAGTGCATTTATTTTGAGTTTGAACAGAATAATGGGGCTTTTATGGGAGCAGAAAAGCCAGAATACTTTTTTATTTAACCACTAATGAATATTTAATTTAAATTTAAATACCACTGAGCATTGAAATATTGAACTTTAGGGAGCAAAGTAGTGGTGTGTTGCAGGACTGTCTTTATCATGAGACTCAAGGAAAAACCATAGGTGCTCTTGAAGAAGAGGGTCAGCACTTGGGAAGAAAAAATGAACGTCAGGCACTTATGCGTGGAGCAGGAACATTGAAATTAGGTTCACAAAACATGGCTGCTTACATTACAAAACACTTTGAGGCATGTCACCTTCATAATGGCCTCTCATTGTGATCTGTAGCTGTCACCCATCTGCACTCACTTATCAATCAGGACGGGGTGACACCCGCTACCAAGCTCACAAATCTTTGCTTGACTCCTGTCCACCCTTTTGTACCATGCTGTCGGTGGTAAGCGGCCATGTTTTTTGAATAAAGGCTTTTTAACTTAACTCAAGTGCATTTGTTCCTGCTCCACGCATCAGTGCCTCAAGTTCATTTTTTCTTCCACTGAAATATTATACTTTGAAATCCATCCGTCTGACTTTATGGGCTTTGATTGCCATTTTGAAATTTCCACAAGGCCATTCAAGTTAAAGCAGTGCACAATTTCAAATACATAATTCATGCAACCAATATTTAAAAAAGCTTTTTTCAAATTACTCAAATTCAGTTAAAGTCTGAACTTAAAATTAAAGTCACAGGCCAGAAAAATCTGGTTACATCCAAAAACTAAAATAAAAGATGGAAAATTAAAAACCAAGGATCATCAATCGAGCCAGAGGAAACACATCAGACCTTCGTCCAGCTGTAGCAGGCTTCGTCCTGTCAGTGATCCAAGGAAGAAAAGATCAGATGAACGAGTGGGAAGTTAGAGTGTGTAAGATTCAGGGGGATCTAGTGGCATCTAGTGGTGAGGACTGCAGATTGCAACCGGCTGAAACTTCTCCTGGTTAGAATTCGTTCAGTGTTCATTGTTAGGAGGTTTTTACCAGGAGCTGAATTATCCACAGAGGTCTCTTCCTCTCCAAAACAAACTGACCAGCTGATTTTAAAACTGTAAAAACACTGAATGAAGCAGTTTCATGTTACAAATCTGTGGTTTTTCCTATTTGTTTGGCATGTTGGAGACAGCCAGCTAGCCTGGCACCTGCTGCTCAGCTGTCATCATCATGCAGGAGGTTCCTCCAGGTTTGTGCTGCATGATAACAAAACACTGCTTCACCATGTCTTGTTTTAACTCTTGGGACGGTAAGTCGGCCAGTCCCAAATGTCCTCAGAATCTAAAAGGTTCATATGTCACAAGCACGTAGCTATATAGTTGTGTGCTGAGCCACAGAGTGATTTATACACAGGCAGTGAGATTTTGAAATCAATTCTGAGTGACAGGTTTTAAGCGTAAGGATTTTAGAACCGGAGTAATGTGGACAGGACCCGAGCAGCAGCATTTTGAATTGTCTACAGAGATATCTTTCTCTCCAAAACAAAACGGCCCGGGTGATTTAAACCAGAAAGAACAGTGAATAAAGCAGATTCATGCCAAAAAGAAATTGTGTTTTTCTACTCCTGTCACGGAGGGGCTGCTAACTACAGTGCGAAAATGCAATGGCCCTATATAAAGCCAGTGTTTGGTTTTTTCGTTCTTGGCTACTGTAGAAACATGGCGGTGCAACATGGCGATCTCCGTAGACAAAGAGTCGCTCCCTTTGGAGATATAAACTGCTCATTCTAAGGTAACAAAAAATATACTCATAATATTATATGCTGTTTCTGCCAATATATCCTCCTAAATCTTACACTGGAACCTCAAGACACTGGAATTTCCTGAATTTGTGAAACTATGAAAAAGACAAACTATAAAATCAAGTTTCCAGTATCAGCTCTGTAAGATTTAGATAAATATGTCCTGTACTTGGATAAATATCTCCAGGAGTTTTTTATCATACAAGCATATAAAATTACTGACAGGAAGCTCATAATTTACACTTTCCAATGTGTCCAATGCCAAATACTGAGACGTTTATACCCTTTAATACCTTGATTTTGACATAAACATTTTTAAATCAGTCATTTATAGCAGTGACGGAGCGCTAAGTGCCACAACAGTTTAATTTTGCCTACCTGTTTGTTTTTTTAAAAAAACATAATGCAGTTGTACAACAACATTAGAGTGTTAAAATTACCACAGTACCCCGAAACCTCCTCAGTCTGCTGAGGGTTAATGACGCACACCTGGGGACACTTGTTAACTTGTTCCAATGTGTGTTCACTGAATGATAGGAAGGACTCTTGCCTTGCCTCTGGAGGATCCTTCCTTGGAAGGACTTATCCTACCAAGGCCAGCCTGTTGCACTTTTTGGTCCAAACTTGTGACACCACAACATGCAGCATTCCTTGTAAACCTTCCCTTACGCATGTGAAGGCAATTTGAGTCCAACAGAGGAATAATGGCTCACCTCTAACAGTGAAAAATACTCAATAGAGAGATAACTAGTCCATACCCATTGAGTACAGCATACCATACCATGACTTAGTCATACCAAAAATAAGAAAACACCAACATTGGTCCACAGGGGGAGCCACAGCGATCGGTCGCATTTTAGCCATTTTGAAGCATTGTTCTGTTGTTATAGCGCCACCCAGTTGCCAATTAGAGTTAAATTTCTCCAGTCACCTTGAGGCGTCCTGTTCTACATATCTACCAAGTTTAGTAAAAATCCATATGGCGGTTAGGCCTAGATAAGAAATGAGCTCCCTAGCGCCCCCATTTTGTTTGATGGGGTCAATAATGGAGGGGTCCCCTCAGATTATGTGTGGTCATATGCCTACAAAGTTGCGTGGTGATGGGTGAAACCCTTGAGATGTTATACACCTTTATGTGATGAGCCACGCCCTCCGCAATATTCATTGCCTTATAGAAGCTCAGTTTTAGTAAGTTTTCCAACTTTTGCCAAGAGGGAACTTTAGATATTGTTCCCTAGATTATGTTCACCCAGTTTCATGCAGATTGCTCAAACTTCCTAGGAAGAGATCCATTTGAAGTGTTTTTCAAAAAATTCAAAATGGTGGAAAATCTATATAAGCGGAAGTTATGGGTTCTTGAGGCAAATGTGTTCCTCATGAGGAGAGGCATCTCTGTGCAAAGTTTCATGTCTCTACGACATACGGGGCATGAGATATGCCCATTCAAAGTTTGACATTTCAATCGGTTGCTATAGCGCCCCCCTTTGGCCAATTGATGTAATATTGCTTCATTGGCATCCTCCCATGACCCTCTACCACTGTGCCAAATTTCACATGGATTGACCAAGTCAGTGAGGAGAAAAATGTGGAACAGACACACACACACAGAGACACAGACAGTTTTCGTCATTATATAGTAAGATATAGATGTGTTGGAATGGTCGAGTATAAATCATATCAAGCTTACTTATTTGATTAAACTCAAATTATTTGGGCACTTTTTTGTGTCCATAAGGTTTCACAGATGAAAATTTAGACATGGGGAAATCATGACTGACTTCTCTTCTCACTGAAACTTGTAACCAACTTACTGATAACCAGCCTGTTGCTCTCTAGCCTGCAAAGCTCAACGTAAAAAATAAAAATTGTTAAGTATATGGAAATCTTTTTAGGTGTCCATGAGCGAGACACTGAATCCCATCAGCTGCAGAGATGCTTCTGAAGCAGAGGGAGAATAAAAACTGAATCTCTCTGTGAGGATTAATTCAGTATCCCACATTTTAAAGCGTATGTGAGAGCGTGACGGTGTGCAGCCAGCAGTGCAGACTCTCCATGGCCCTCACACACAGCGTATACACCCTGCACAGATGTCTTTGTTGTGTTCAGAGCTGTAACGTTACCCTCCCCGTGTGCAACAGCACAACACGCTGCTCTGCAGACGTTTCAATCCCGACTGCAACTGACAGCATGGCCGGCTGCTTCACACGTGAACCCAATAAAATCATTTTCCCTCTGACTCTGGAGATTAATCTGACTTTCTGTGCTGTCTCCTCTCACTGTGTCTCTCCTTCATCAGCACACACACACACGTTAGTGGAGAGGAGGCATTTTGTGACATGAGGCAGAAGGGATAATTATTTGGGGAACCAGTGTGACAGAATGACAGAGGGGCAAGATAATGGCAGTCATTCTCGTGCTAACTGTGTCCTTGCAGAGAAACATGATGGAGAGCTCCAGGCTTTCTCCACTGAACAGTAATATAAACCCAACACTGATTTTTCTCTGGTTTAAGTTAAAGATTTAAGACTTTCTCTGCACTCACAGAAGACGCATTTCTCTAAAACTTTGGTTGAAAATTTGCAGAATGTCACGTTATTCCTACTAAACCCTTGAAGACTTTGAAAAAGACTCTAGATACACGCTGAATTAAACACAGACTCTTGTTCACTCCACAGCTCCAACAGTTTCTCCTCCTTTTTCAAAGTACAAGAGAACTGAGACTCGGTCTTGTTTTCACGCCTCCCTGGAGTCCCCTCCATGTTTCCTGTTGACAACATTCATTCATTATTTGTACAAACCAAAAACTGAGCACAGCTTTAGTTCAGACAGGACACAATGTCAAGCTCAGCTCACGTCCCAGCTACATCAGCTGATCTCAAGCAGCCTGATCAACTGATGGAGCAGCTGATAGATCACATGATTCCTTTCTATGCAACCCATTGGTAAATCTCATTCAGGGCGCCCTATTTAAACTGCTCTGGCCTGTCTACTGTTGCTGCTTCCTCTACAAGCTGCTTTGCAACCTGCCTCCACCCCAGCTCCTCTTTTTCATGCTGTGTCTGACTTATCACTGTCATTTCTGTTTGTCATTGATGCTGCTCTGTTCTGTTCCCGGGGGGT